CTCCCAGGGTGCAAGCAGTGGTGGTAGCCACCCCCCATAAGCCATACCACTGTTTAGCACCCCTGCCTCCCTGGGCAGCGCCTGCTGCCTCCCTACCTCACCATGGGAGGCACTGATCTGCCCCCCTATGCGCCCTCACAGACTTGCCACCAGGAGGCAGCTGTATCCATCAGTATCGGCCGATATGCCTCCTTAAATAATTTATATCAGCCCCCAAAATCTCTATCAGTGCACCCCTAGCTCACACACAACAGCTTTATACATAGGTGTGGTATAGGAGTAGGGACAATGACTAAACAGTTTTTTAGGGAAGAAATTGGCTTTGTTCCATCTTTGTATATAAGAAAAGAATTAGCGTTTCTTAGGCACTTATTTTTTTTTTACTTATGCAAACAGTAGAATATTATACTGAAATCCAAGTATTAATCCAGGACTCTGATTTCAGGAAGAGTCGTGGTGCATGCCAAAATTTGGGAAAAGTGCTAACAATGGAGAACAGCCTCCCTGCCCCAAGGAATGGGACCACCTCAAATCTTCTCCGTGTATTTTTTAATTCAGATTAGGCTAAAAGTAGAAATACACTGTTTTGATTATTGATAAAGGCTGTTGGATTCACTTATTTAATATTCTAGAGATAAAATAAAAAGCACCATTTTTATTTTATTTTATTTTTTTAACCAAAGCTAGGAGGATAGATCCTAAAATTAAGAGGAGGTAGGTCATCACCTTGTATTGTTCTTCAGCACAGTAATCTGGCCACTGTCAGACAGAAATAAGCAACTGTTAAAAACTACTAGTCAGCTGTTACACATCTACCCAAGACAAATCTTAGTGGTCTTTTAAAATGAAAATCATTCTACAGGCAATCTGCAGTAGTTGGAACCATGTTTGTATTCAAGTGTTAGATATCTTCCATTATCTAATAATGCAATGTGCCAGTTTTATTCATAATTACTAGTATAGTGAAATAAATGCAATAACCCTCATATTATTATTTATAATATTGAAATAACTCTGGACATGGTACCTGAATTTTTACTGAAGATTAAGACTATAATTTTTGCTAAACAACCTTCCTTTAAGTTCTGCAAATTTTATCTGATTCACTGACACCTTTTGTTATTGTTACTATTTCAGTTTATCATCGATGACCTCTCTAATCAACTAAGACTCCAAGAAATATCCCAAAGTTGACTGGCCTTCAACCAGAATTTAAGAGCAGTAGTTTAGTCAAATTCATTTCATAAAAGCCATATCCAAGGCAAGATAGAGTCATCTGAGATGTCTGAGTGATCAAGAGCAAGCATATGAAGCTCCTCAAAATTAAACTGATAAAAGTGGGGACAGTTACTGTATGCCCCTTTGATGTGAGGCAGTTAATTTTTATGTAATTCATGGCTATACAACTAGGAATCTAAAACTTCAGCTCCTTCACCCCTGACCTGGATGTTCAAGACCTCAATCCTAAGAATCCAAGTCTAAAAGGTAGCATTTTCTCTGCAAAAAAAGTAAGAATACTTCAAAAGTTCAACAATATTACTGGATAACAGCCAACTTAAGGGCTAAGAACAGCAATCTTGCAAACAAGTACTGCAAAGAATTCTGCAGTATTACAGAAAGATAAAATCTAAGAGTCAGGACACTAGAACACATCCCTTACCATTTCAAGAAGGGTTTTAGATAGGATTGCATCTGTATAAAACCCATTTTTCTTTTGTTTCATCCTACATGGAAATGGATGAAACTATCCTGATAACATTAACAGGATCGCTTTAGCTCTTGAGTCTAATTTGTTTTACTATGCTATGGAATCCAGGCATGTCAGAAGCGAGACCAAGGCACTTAAGAAGGTTTAATAAAATTAAAATAAAGTTAGCTTCCTGAATTAAAAAAAAAAGGTAAAGTAGACTTATGTAGAATATCTTACGAGCGCCTAACTGGATATTGGAAAGAAAATCCAACTGAGAAAGTCCCTTTTGACAAACCTCTTTCAAGTTGTGCTACATGTGCCTTAACCCAGTAGTTTTCAAAACTTTTTTTGAACTAGGATCCATTTGTAAACAATGGCCAATCCTGACCCACTGTCCCTCACTTCCTACCTGCTGCTCCCCACCCCCAGTGTATGGGGCAGGGGGGAGCACAAGCAGCCCCTTGCAGGCTGGAACTCTACCACCCTGCAAGGGAAAAAAGCCATGGTTTCTCATGTTCTTTCCTTTTGAAAGGAGAATGGGTTTTTTTGTTTGTTTGTTTTGTTTTTTAAGTTTGTTCGCAACCCTTTCATATTTCTTGCAACCCACTTTTGGGTCGCGACCCAGGGGTTGAGAAGTGCTGCCTTAACCCGCTACTGAATCCTTCCTATCCTGGTTCTTGGGAAGAAACTGTGCTGTTGTGAAAGAGGAACAGACCATTGTTACATCACATACCATACCTACTCTCCCACCCTCCTTTTTCCCCCCCAAAAAAGTTAACCATCCAAAATTGGAGTTCACATCTTAAGCAAGGGAGCTCATTTCCATGCCAGAATGGAAGCATGGGAACACTGGAGTGATTGCCATGTTCTGTGCTTCCCTTAGGTTGTGTGGCAGGTGTGAAGATCATTCTTCTGCAACACTTCCTCACCTTGCTCTGCAGCCAAAAGCTAGAGATTTAATCTCATCACAACTGTTAACTCTGTCACAGACAGCTAGGCAAACTTCTAGCTTTTTAGCTGAGCAGTAGAGAAGGCAAGGGAGGCCGATGAGTGGATTTCACCTCTGCTGCATGTGGCCAGCATTCAGTCATTACTCCAGGAAAGTCCCTCTCCATGCACCATGTTTTGGGAAGGAGGAATATCTTTTTGGGGGACACAGCACACAAGAAAAAAGGTGGTATTGTTGCTGTTTTCCCACCCCTGCCATCCATCACTTCCTGGTCCAATTTATAGGCAGTCAGGTGTGCCAGGCAAGACCTGTAGCTGGGGCCTTTGGCATAACATTATGTACAGGAAACTGCCTATAATGCTGGCAATAAGATAGTCGTGTCCATTCAAAAGGAGCTTAATGCTTCTAGCAAATACTTACATAAAGATGCTCCAGTGCCATAGACATATTAATCCTAATCAAGTTAAGGCATCAAATAAGTCTTACAAAAAGTTACAGTTCTCACCTGCCTTTATTCTCCTTTCCTTTTATTTTGTTTTCTTGGCTCTTGCCTCCAGTAGGATCCCATTCAACATAAGAATCTTCAACTTTCAGATTCAGGTGAGATGATGTACCATCCAAATTGAAAACAAGTGCTGGCCAAGACAAGCATGCATATCAGTAAAGCAGCTTAGACTGAAGTTCCCTGCCAATGTACCTTGTTTCTAATGCAGATTATCTATTGCCTTTGGCTTCTTTATTTAAAGAAAAATACCAGCCAAAAGAAGCTGTATTATTTTTCATACAATTCTTATGTCCAAGCTCAATCTGATGTGAAGTTCAGTTACATAAAATTCTACTAAGCTACATATTCCTTGCTGCTCAAGATACCATTTTCTTAATATTTATTAAAAGATGCAATCCAAATTTTACCTTTGGTCTCCAGAGTTATTGGATCAGAGTATTCCCCTGCCACCGCCTTGTTACAAGCTCGTACTCTAAAGTTCATATATTTGGAATCAAATTTTAGACCTGGGGGGGGGGGTGAAAAAAGTACTGAAGAATTATTTATTTTATGGATCCAAACAATAACAACATTCAAGAAAAGTAAGGAGGAATGTTCTAATTCTGCCTCTAATAAGAAAGACTAGCAACTAAAAATAAGGACACATGGAGTCTATATAAATAAGGCCCCCACAGCTGATCATTTGAAAGCCCTTTTAAAATTTATTGGATATTTTACTTTTTACAAAATGTTTTTCACTGAAGGACTTTATGTGTTTGCTATGGTGCATACAAAGTATAAATAAACAAAGAAAAGTTTTATTCCATGCTGAATTTATCAAAAATGCCAATTTCAAATGTTATATCAATCTTGTTTGAGGTCATTCAAGAGAAGTGTATAAGCAATTATTACCAGATAATGTATATTCAGTGCCTTTTATATAATCTATTAACTCCCAACATCTTTCATCTTTCACACGAGGAAGCCCATCAAAGTTAGTTTTCCTATATTCCAGAGCAAAATGATCAATTTTTTTGTCTTCTTCTGGCATTCTCCAGGCTATTGTTACAGTGTTGTCAGCTACCAAACACTCTGCTGTGTCTATCTCTGGAGCTTTAGGAACTGCAAGAGACAAAAAGAACATTAAAAGTACTGATGAAAAGGATTTACTAATCATAATACTGCAGTCTTTGTTCTCCTAAGCAAAGGATTGTAAATTGTCTTGGTTTCAACTGCACTCATTCCTTTCACCAACTTTATTCTATCTCCAACATTTCAACAAGCACTGGCAGACTTTCACTTAGAATGCATATATGAAAGGGAATATTAAAATGATCACTTTGATAAGAAATACAAGTTAGTGCTAGAAAGGGAGCCGATTTTATATTCTACTAACAGTACCATATAATAAGGTCTCCCTAGTTAAATTTGGAAGGGATTAATGATTGTCATTCTATGGTTAAAATAACTTCTTTAAAAAGGTTTGTTAAAAGTGCTCTGCTCTTAAGTTGTCCTACTTCTCTTTCATATCTTTTTAAACAACTCTTGTTAGAGCGCTCATAACATTGCATAGCAAGAACACAGTTTATCCTATAGAAAGACTCCATCAGAGATGATACAATATAGTCACATTCAGAGACTTATCCTATATTTCAAGTTTACAAAAGGTACTAAGACATGCCTTATGAAATAAACTATTTAGAGTACTTGATACTAGGTTAATGAAACTTATACACCAAAACATGTAAGCCTGTACTAAGATAAAATATTTTGGTAGAAGTAACCAATTGCTAGTTTATTTTTCTTTCAAACCCTTGCTAAGAGTAAGCAGTTATTTCCCACTTCGGAAACCATTGGGAACAAGGCTATTTTTAAGACTGGTCTAGAATCCCTTCATTTTGATATCTAGTTTTCCTTGAAATCTCCCACACCGATTTAAAAAAAAAATATATTTACTGAAAAAAGTAAATGTCAGTCCCTCTTTACCGAAAACCAATGCATTGAGGATTTTGTAATGACTATGATAGTGATAAGCTGGTTCAGAAAACAGATTTGAGTAACCAGATGCTTTTTATTGATCCTCCTTGATAATGACTGGGTAGTCTTACTAGAGCAGATCAGCATCCTCAGATAACTACTACCTAAAGAGCACCTTCAAGCACACTGGACAGCCTCCCCAACTTGCATTAAAAATTCTCTCAACAAATTCATCAAATACTGAGAGGCTCAAATTAAGCTTGTACACTGGTAATCTATACATGGAAGAATGTAATATTGAAAAGAAAAGAAACAGTTGAAAATTTAAATAGTAGAGTTGTATCAGTTTACTGGTCCACATTGGACTGGCACTGATAAAGTTAACATAATTGACAATCGGCTTTTTTTGGCTGGTGTAGCTGATAATGTCATCAATAAATGCCACATGTATGCACGCAGCTGCCATGCATGCAGCCAGGAATGCAACCCAGCAGCTTGGAGAGCAGTATCCAGCCAGTAAGCCTGGGCTGGGGGGAGGGAAGCAGATTGAGGCCCCCACAGTGAAAGGAGTGGGGCAGGGGCAGAGGCTGCCCAGTCAGTGGTGAATGTGACCCTGCTGGGAGCAGGACAGACCTGCAGGCAGCTTATCTGGAGGGCAGCTCCCTGCTGCACCATAATTTTGGTGTGGCTGTAGTCCACCCTGTAGCCACCTCCTCCCACCCACCCCAAGTGCAGGCCCAACCCAGCCCTCCCTCTGGGAAGAGCCCAGTGCAGCCCCTGGCCTCAAGCCTGCAGTGGGCAGCCTGCCTTCCCCCAGCACACAAATGTGGGGGGCACATGCCCCCCATACCTCCCCCACAGGTGCACACAGCAGCAAGGAGCCACCCATGGCTCAGTCCCGCTCCCAGGGGCACAATCACTGCCCGAGTTGGGTAGTGCCTGCCCCACTCCCTCCCTCACCATGGGGGCCTCAATCTGCCCCTTCCCAGATTTACCTGCTGAATGCTGTTCCCGAATCTGCCAGGCTGCATACTGGCTATCGGACTGGTATCAGCCAATATGGCTGGTTAATGATCAGCCAATAATCTTCATCATTGCATCCCTAATTAAAAAGATCAAGCCTTGCAGGTAGGCAGTCACTTCACCATACAGACAACTTCACAAACTACTTTTCTGAAGCTAAACCAGTGAACACAGAGCAAACAAGCCAGAACAGGGGTGGGCAAAACGCAGCCTGGGGGCCGGATACAACCTACCAGGCCATTCTATCTGACCCGTGGGGCCCCTAAAAAAAAAAAAAAATTAGAAAATTAATATTTATCTGCCCTGGGCTGCCTGTCATGTGGCCCTTGATGGCTTTCCAAAACTCAGTAAGCGGCCCTCTGCCCAAAATAATTGCCTGCCCAAGCCAGAAGGTTAAGACATTAATTGTACTTTTAAATTACTACGTCCTGCTATGTTCAATAAGCCTTGGGAGTCACATTTATGTGGACACAAGGACCCCTTTGCAAAGGTAGTTCTCCACTCAATTTCCTGACCTCTTCAAAAGCTATTTTCAGAGCCCTTTAAAGTATTCCTTGTACTTTATTCCCACAAATTGGAACACTTTGCAACAAGCTATTCTGCTCTGTAGAGTAAAATTATAATACATGCATGCAGTAATGTTATAATATAACATTACACAGTTTTATAGTGTTTGACTGACATCTGATCATGCATACTATTTCAAGGTTTAAGGGCTTATATCTTTAAACACTACTAGCTGGAAATAGTTCAAATATCAAATCATTTCAGCCTCTGAACACCAAAATATTCATGGGCTGAAAAGAGATGTCCAGTGTTTAATATCAAAAGGCATTTAAGAAATATGATAGAAGTGGATGAGTTTCCTCCACCCTCCAATACTTGGGCTACTATTACAGGAACATATCTGCCAAGTAAAATGTTGTCATTTCCAGAGCCACTTTTTAGGCTGAAATACATGAAGATACTTGAACATTATAATTTGCATCTGGTTCAGTGGTCTTATTCATGTCTCTTAGGACAATAAAAGATACAAAACTAGCTTAAGAGCTAAATCACCACTGAAGAGAAAAGATGCATTAGTGCCTGGGGGTGGCTGATGCAGGGCTGAAGAGTTAACAAACAACTTTTTTCAATGTACCAATACAACTTAAGGTGTTATAGCACAAGTGCTGAAAACCTAGAAATGCAAGTTGTAACTATGAACCCAACACCCTTACTATGAAAATGTAGTGGTTAATGTGATCATAAGTTTAGACAAATTTAAGACCCCTATCTCCCAATGGAAAAAAAAAAAAAAACAACAAAAACAAAAAAACCAAACCACACACTGAAGACACCCTTACCAGTATGGAGTTGCAGAAAGTGTACCCCATGGGGGGGGGGGGGGGGGGGAAAGAAGGCTGATCTATACTACTCTAGCTCTGCTGGCAAAAGTGAAGTGCATGCCCACCCAAAGCTATTTAGCAGGAGCAGAAACTTGCTTTGGCAAAGTAAAACCCACCTCTGCCAGGTAGAAGAAACACACACACACACACACACACACACACACACACACACACTGCATCTTTACTACCATATATAAATATGCCCACACTTGGATGGCTTCCATCGCCCTTTCAGCAGCTGATGCCTCCCTAGAATGTACTTTGCTGTCTGACAGGAAAGCTACAGAGGGAGTAGCAGAGCTGCCAGATGTGCATGTGCGCTGAAGACTGCAGGTGGCAGCTCCTGCCTGCCTCCAGAACTTCTGGAGATGTAAACAGAGTCAGGCAAGTGTAAGCAATGTCTCAGTGTTAAATACATGCAGCTCCAAGTCAACCACTACTATTACCCCCAGTCTCTATGGAGACCCCCTAAATAACCTATGACAAAAGTCCAGGACCCCATGGGGCCCTGTTTAAAAGCCACTGCATGAGAAGAATTCCATTTCAAATGGAATTACAAAGAATCCCTGTTTAAAGAGAGATAAAAACAGTTTATCTCATAACTAAAAATACAACCAACCCACTAACACTGGGGGGAAAAGAACAGCCAGCTGCACAGTAGAAGTTACTGGAAACAGTGCTTTTTTGTACATGTTCTTGTGCATGTTTCAGGATCTATACATAGTAGCCTGCCTCAGACAAACTTTGTACCTATTTGTGGGAAAGTAAGCAATGCAAGCAACATATCAACCTTCTTCCTTTACAAGGAAGGCCAAGGCGGAGATGGAACTGGGACTAGCTACCCGGATTAAAGACAACAAGAAGTCCTTTTTTAAAATACATAGGGGGCAAAAAGAAGGTACCGGGTAATGTGGGGTCTCTGCAAGACACGCTAGGAAATCCGGTTGTCGCACCAGACGACAAGGCTAACTTATTTAACCATTTCTTTGCCTCCATTTTCCTGAGCAGGGACCAGATCAGCCAGTCCGCTGGGACCCCCTCAGGCCCCAGGGGAGGGGCAGCCAGGCCTAGGGTCAGTGAGGACCTAGTCAGGGAACTTCTGGAGGGACTGGACATATGTAAATCAGCTGGTCCTGACAGCCTCCACCCCAGAGTGCTGAGGGAATCAGCAGAGGTCATTGCGGGACCCTTGGCACAGCTTTACGAGCATTCGTGGTGCTCTGGTGTGGTGCGAGAGGACTGGAAAAGGGCCAGTGCGGTTCCCATATTCAAAAAAGGGAGGAAGGAGGACCCAGGGAACTATAGGCCAGGTAATCTGACCTCGATCCTGGGTAAGCTTTTTGAGAGAATTATCCTGGCGCATGTCCACAGAGGGGCCAGCAGGGGAGGTCATGCTTAGGGACAACCAACACAGGTTTATTAGAGGCAGGTCCTGTCAGACCAACCTGGTGGCCTTCTATGACCAGGTCACAAAATCCTTAGATGCAGGGGTAGCAGTGAACGTAGTCTTTCTGGACTTCAGGAAGGCCTTCGACACCGTCTCTCACCCCATTCTCATTACAAAACTAGGGGACTGTGGCGTCGACACCTGCACAGTCAAATGGGTCGCTAACTGGCTGGAGGGCCGCACCCAGAGAGGGGTGGGGGAGGGGTCATTTTGCAGCGGGGTCCCCCAGGGCTCGGTCCTCGGACCCGCGCTGTTCAACATCTTCATCAGTGCCTTGGACGAGGGGGTAAAAAGCACCCTGTTAAAATTTGGTATTTTAATACCAAAATTTAATACCAGGCTGGGGCTGTCCCTCTGCCCTTCACTGTGTGGGTGGGGCCCCAGTGATACAGACAGCAGCTGGACTGCCAGCAAGTACTAGGGGGTTTTTTTGGTTTATTTTTTTTTCCTATGGGGATGCTGGGGTGGGGAGGCACGGCCAGCAGGGGTTCCCCCATAGTCCCCTCCCCCTTCCTCCAGCTGCCCCCCCCAACCCCTTACTTACTGGCACTGGAGCCCTAGTACTGCAGGATGCTGCCTAGCAAGCTGTGTGCTTCAGCACCAGGGCGAGGGCCAACCACAGAGATGCTCTGGCAGTCAGAGCATCTCTGTGGAGGACCCCGCCTCTGGTTGCCTCAGGGCACAGTCTGGGACCATGTCCTGCCCCACTTTTTTTAGACCCCATAGCCAGGGGTCTAATTTTCTCCCCGTGCTACAAACTTGCATCGTGTGGAACATTTTTTGTTTCCAGACATGCCTCTTGCCCCATCTCAAAAGGGGTTTGAGACAGAGCAAGAAGCACGTGCGTGATTTCAGCCAGTATCAACTACTAGTTGACAATAAGAATTACGTTAGTGACTAAAGAAGATCCTAGTCTCAAAGCCTATGCTTAGAAGCTACTTTACCATTACACAGAATAAAAAGGCATGACTAGTTAAAAAAAAAAGCCACCAGGAACTTGAAATGGCATATGACCAACAAATTAAGTATTTCATATTCCAGCAAGCTCTTCCCACCCATCAAGTTTGGTTATAAACTGGCAAATAAGGACAGAAGTGACAGCCAATTGGCCAGATTCAGCTCAAAAAGTGACTGTCAGTGCCTTGTTGGCATGAAGCGGAGGGGGCAAAGCAGGGCTGGGCAACAGGGTACCAACAATAGAGGGGATGCCCCAGGTCCCCTCCACCTGCTACCATCTTTTAAAAACAGAGGTGGAACAATGGATTGAAGTGTACTGGTTTCAGATCACATTTGAAAACAGTTACTGATTAAAGTCACGTGATATTACAAAAAATTCTGGTCTTGATAGCACAATGTACAGCAACTGGGTAGCCTGCTGTACCTAGAGACATTTGTGTTCTGTGCATCCAAACAAATGCATCAGCAATCTTTTACAGTGGTGGGACTGTTTAAATGGAGCTAGCTCCAGAAGGCAGGCTACCCCTTCTGACCCACTACCACTACCCTGACTCCCCAACACAGTCCAGCTACAGTAGGGCAGGTACAGCTTTGGAGCTCCCCCTACCCCTGGGTCAATCAGATGCAGCAGGGATGGAAATTTTACCCGCTTTGGGGATGAGTTCACGGCAGCTACTCCCACAGTGTAGTCCAAAAAAGGGGGCGGGGGGGAAATTAGAATAATATTGATTTTTCTCAAAAGGCATTGTGGATACCACCAAATTATGGGGTAAAGTTAACACGCCAGAGGGTAGGGAATGAATCCAGGCAGATCTGAACAGGTTGGAAAAAAAAGTTAAAAAAAAAAATAAATAAAAAATGGGTGGAACAGAACAGGATGCAGTTCAATAAAGACAAATGCAAGGTGCTGCACCTAGGAAGAAGGAATTGCCAGCATGCTTACAGGCTGGGGGAGGACCTTCTCAGCAGCCAAAAGGGATCTTGGAGTCACTGTCGACTCCAAGATGAGCACAAGTCAATGTGACAAAGTGATCAGCAAAGCTAACTGCACTTTATTATGTTTTGTCACGCACCTGCCAATGCAGGTCCAAAGAGGTGATGCTTCCCCTTCATGCAGCATTGGTCAGACCACAGTTGGAGTACTGCATCCAGTTTTGGGTGCCACATTTCAACAGGGATGTGGAGAATTTTAAGACGGTTCAAAGGAGGGCCACTCATATGGTTAGGAGCCTACAGGCATAACCCTACAAGAGATGGAGGGCCCTGGATCTCTTCAGCCTCCACAAGAGAAGGCTGAGGCGATCTTGTGGCTGCCTACAAATTCATCGTGGGGGGCAGCAAAGAATAGGAGATGCTCGGTTTACCAGGGCACCCCTTGGACTAACTAGGAACAATGGCCGCAAACTGACAGAGAGCAGATTCAGGTTAGACATCAAAGATAACTTCTTTACGGTTAAGTGTTGCCAGAATCTGAAATGGGCTTCCAAGGGAGGTGGTGCTCTCCCCTACCTTGGGGGTCTTCAAGAGGAGGCTAGACATGCACCTGGCTGGGGTCATCTGCCCCAGCACTTTTTCTTGCCCAGGACAGGGGGTCAGACTATCTTCTAAGGTCCCTTCTAACCCAAATATCAACAAATCTATGAAATTAACATCTAATACAAAAGAGTTAAAATTTGCACCATCTTTTAGAATACAGCAAAGTCCTAAGAGAAGAATTCTTGCCTCTGCATTTGTATCCCTAGCACTGTAGGAATTTTATATGGGGGCACATTATGTATAAACACAGTTTTGATTAGTTTTACACTTTATATCTTGCTAGTTTAGCTAGCAAGGAGGTACCCTTGATAGCAGGGAATGAATTAAGGAACTCAGAAGTGCCACTGCCACCTCTACTGACTTAACTTGGCTAGTGCCTTAACTCATTTGAACTATTACACGTAAAAATGCATATTTTTACAACATAGGAATATTATGGGTCTATAATCTTAAGTGCTGAAGAAAATGCTTATGGTTCTCTGAGAAGTCCACACATTAAGATGTGCAATCTACAGTAAAAGCTCTGTTATATGGCATCCCCTGGGAATGGGGGATGCCGGTTAATCAAATATGCACTGTCTGGTGCTCTCCCCAGCATCAGTGCGCCAGGGGACAGGAAGGAGGGCCCTGAGCAGGCTGCTTTGCCCTGGGCTGTGGGCCAAAGTGGCAAGAACTCAGCTCGCAGCGGCGGCGAAACCAGAAGTACCATTTCCGGGTTTCACTTTTGCCGCATCCCTGGGATGCTAGTTAATAGTTTTCCAGCTAACAAAGTACTGGTTAACACAGCTTTTACTGTAATTATATTGTTCATCCCTGATGCTGCAGCACAAAAATTCATCTAGTCATAAATACTTTAGTTTTACCTGGCAAGAACTTTAAAGCCTGGAGCATCTGCCTTTCTTGAGAGAAGTCCACCATCAAATGAGTCATGTTATCACTGACCTTAGGTTTCAAAGAGATGCGGAATGCTGAGGCCATTGTGACTCTAACGGCAAGAAAAGCGTGTTAGTAAAAAGTGGTATTTTTCTGTGGACGTTCTTTAGATCAAAAAGTTAAGCTTTCACCAACTGCCAGAACAACTAATTCCTTGTTAACAAATTTTTTTTTTTTTTTTTTTTTTTTTTTTTTTTTTTTTTTTTTTTTTTTTTTTTAACCAATTTGAAGATCAGCTGAAACTTAAAACAGCGTGGCATGTCCAACCCCAAGATGGGCATCAAAAAAGTCAGTCTGTGGGCCAAACTCTCCACCCTGAGAAGAGCCTGCACTGCCAAGTCCAATCCATGAACTGCATGCAGCACACACAAGCCCTAGGGCTCACAGTGCATGCAGTCCCCAGGGTTAGCGTGGGACACAATGCCTGAAGCACACAGGATGGATCCAGTACTGCAAGCAGCACAAGGGGTTGCTCACTGTATGTAGCTCATTTCCTGGACCCTCCTTCCCCTCCCCTCCCTGTGCTACAGGCAGCACATGCCCTGTGCCAGCCCCAGGGGCCTTGTACACACAAGCCCTGGGACCTGTGCATGCTGCACATGGCATGTGGGTCTGGACTAGCCACATGCACTATACATGGTACAGGAAACCAGCATGAGGCACTTGCTCCATGAAGGACCCCATCAAACTTGGAGCTGGCATGAAGAACTGGTTAGCATATGCCCAGTGCTGATCCCTGCACAATGTGCAGCATGTAAAGCCCCCCACACAGCAAATGCCAGCCGCAGGGCTCACCATGCACGAGGTGCATGGGCTGTACTTAGTGCTGCAAGTGGTACAGGGAGTCTAGGGCAGAGATTGCATGTGGTACCCTGGACCAACTCACTGTGCTGCCTGCAATGTGCACAGCATTGGGTCCAACCTGCATGCCATGCATGCAGCCAGCAACAATCCAATCCAACCCAACAGCTCGTGGGCTGGATCATATAGTTCCATGGGTTGTGTGACTTCTGCTCTACGGTTCAAGTTTTGCCTCCATCTTCACTTTGTTTTTAGGCTCACTCTCCCTTCCCGCTGTCCTGACAGAGGCTCATGGAAGCGTCTCAAGCTTTCTCCAGGAAGTGGTTGGTTTTAGTTGGTTCATAACCTGACAACCCTGATTCCAACTAGCAGCACTTAAAAAAGGAGTTCCCAAGAATCTATGAAGGATTAACTATTTGACAGACAGTTCAACATCTGCTGTCATGAACACCTGCTACCACCACTCTTCAAAACTTTTCTACGAAAGATGTTTTCTGTTTCGGGGGCGGGGGGGAAGAAGAGAGAAAAATCAGCTTTTCCATTAACAAGGAATGCCAATTTCACCTGGCCATGAACTCCAGTAGGAAAAGCGAGAGACAAAATGTATACTGCCCGAGCAAGGAACCACTGTACTGGACACGTGCCATGCCCACCCCTAAAACTAGAATTACCTTTGCAAGCACAGAGCTTCACTAATGTAGCCACATTACTTCCAGATCCAGAGGCAGTACACAGAGCAGTGCTGTCTGGTACAGTGCTTGGACAGCGTTGATATGCCTTAGCTTTTCTGACAATTTGGCCATTCAGTTTATTCATTTTAGTTTTCAGGATACATTAGTCTGCTTGATCCGTGGAAGTAGTACATTTTGGAAGTTTTTTGCAAGCAACCTATTCATCACAAATAGCTTGCATCCAAGAGCTTTAAAAACAGCTTTTAATATCCATGGAGACTGCTAGAGAGGTCTCAGATTGATGGGCATGATTAATAGATTGAACTGGTCCAGAAGAGAGTTAGGTTTATCTTAAGCTTTTTCACAATAAAAATGCTTGTTAAATTGTAGCATTTTAATCAACTTTGAGGGAAAAAGTGGTTTGAAGACTTCACATCCAAAAAGAGGATGCCATAGTTAAGAGTCTAACATGGACAGTGAACCCATCAAGAGCAGAACTGTTGATAATCACCAGAAAGATATTCAGTCTTTGTAAACATTAGAATAAAGCAGCTAGAAAAAGCACCAACTATATGGGATTTTTTCAGATGTGTTGAAATAATAAAGCCTGTAGAGAATTTAAGATATAAAATCATGATACTCTAATCATGAATCCAAAGGAATGCTGTCAACATCATTGATATGTACACAATAGAAATTTTGAACTAGATAGCTACTTTGGGGGGGGTTGTTTGTTTGTTTGTTTTAAAGTCTCCCATCCTCCTTCATGAGGCATCCAAACAAACTCATCAGCAACCTTCTGGAGTGGTGGGATGCTTTAAATGGAGCTAGCTCCAAAGGCAGGCTACCTCTTCTGACCCAGCTCCTGGTGCCAGCCACTGCTTCCTGCACCACCACTTTGCCCCTTCCCTGCCAGCCTCCCACAGAATTGTTGCAGACATCTCTGGCTGGCAAATCAATGCAGATGTGCTTAAGCTTCACAGGCTGGATCCAATCACTTGGTGGACAGATCCAGCTCATGTGCCATAGGTTGCAGACCCTTGAACTAGATAAAAAGGAGAGCATGAAAGTGATTACATGCAAAGTGCAAACACTCATAAGTGATTTTAATAGCCTTTCAGTAGTTTAGCTGCAGTAGTCTTGGGTCTTGTTTTCAACAGCAAGTAAGAAAATCCAAAAGAAATTGAAAGCTTTTAGAGTGCTCCTTTCAGATTGAAAAAAGCTTGACTTCAGTGAAAAATATTAGTTAGAAGCAAAAAAAGTGTAGATTTTGTACTGTACCTATCTTTGATCTGTCTGGCAGCCTTGGTGCACATCAGGGAGAAGAGAGAGAAGGCAGTTAGTGTTTTCATGCAAGTCTCAACTGCAGTAAACATGCAAGAAGAGTTAAGAGTATGAACCCCACAGCTGTTTAGCTCAAAAAAGGCCAATCAAGGTTATTACTTGCAGCCAAATAAGATCTCTTTCCACAAAGCTTGTATTAATCCATGTTAGAACTGCGCTAATAAAAAAAAAAAAATCAGAATAATCAACTTTGAAAGCCACACCAAGCCAATTCCAAAAATTACTAGGCTTTTGCTTTCCAGTGTTACCCACGTTATTCAGTGTGTCAAAGTTTTTTTTTTTTTAATTTCTCCCCAAATCCAAAGAGGTTCTCTTCTTCTTCAATGTAAAAAGAGCTAGAGTACTAAGACAATAAAACTTACATAACTAATTATTTTGAAGTCAGGCTATAGAGTGCTTACTTTGTTTTTAATGGGACTTAATTATTTAAAAACCAGTGAGAGGCTTAAATTTTTAGGAGAAACTGTTTTACTGTTTAAGTCAATCTAATTCTCCACTTTCTTCTCAGAAGCTCCAAATATAGAGCAGTTTTAGTTTTTGCAAACAAACCACAGCGATCCTCAGTGACCTTTGCTCAATATAGCAAATCTGATGCATAGCTGGGCAGCAAATTTGGGCATCCCACACCTTTTCCTTCCCTTTTTAGCCTGCATACAGCAAAAAAAAAAAAAAACACACAACAACAAACCTGAAGTTCACTTCAGTGCAAAGGACAGTGAATAAACATAGGGTTTGTTAGTTTTGGTACCAAAAGAACTTTAAAAAGTGGAAATTGAGCCAAATGCCCTCTTCACCAAGGCAATATCCTCATTAAACAAAAACATTAGTTTCTCATAAAACATGCATTCTCTCCCAAAACAGTTGCTGAAAATTGGAGTGCATGTTATATACAAGGAAACATGGTTAGAGCAGTTTGTCTCTTACTGGGCAAAAACAAAAAAAGTCAGCACATGATCCACAAGGTGAAGAACAACGAGCAGACCTAGGTCCCTAGCTGCCACTTCTCAATTACTACAAGAGAAGATTGCTTTTGAAAGGCAGAACAAAGACAAAATAATGTTATGTGCACAAAGATACAGCACTTTGGTCTCCTGAGCAGCCTCTCCTGAAGACTGCTTTATTTACAGTTTCTAGTAGCTGATCCTTTAAGAGGGACAGATTTTTGGAAGCCTTTCAAACTAGGCTTACTTTTACTAGAAGCAAAAACGTAGATGTTAACACCAAAAATGTTCCATCGTAGACCCAGGATCTATCCCATTAGATAGAGCTCTGATGAAATTGTTTCTAATTTCCCAGAGGTTAACTGCTGTTCTAGTGAACTGGTTTAGTAACTGTGCTACGGCACAGCTGCAAAGACAGAATTGTTACTTCAAGCAGCATGTGGTTTCCAGGAATGGTCAGTGTGGTTTCTACTGTGTATGCAAGAAAGTTTTGGATCAGCGTGCACATACATTATGCCTCTGTGTACACATATGAGAGTATTAAAAAAGGTGAGGGTGCCCCAAATCTTCCTTTCATTTGATCTAAAAGTACACTTTGCCGAGAATTACGGTGATAAAATTTAGGTCAGAGACCCGCATCCCTGAAGACACCATCATTATCCTCTCCTACTACATTAATTTACAGTGGCATCCACACTAATGTCAAGCCAATCTTCCCTGGGTGGTAGAAGTGAAGTTTAGCTGCCCTGAGCCAAAGAAATTGGAGGAGTACTCTTCCAAACTTATAATCAGGTTAGATGTCAAGGACAGAATAGACAAAAAATAGTAGTGGGCAACATTAGCAAGTGAAAACACACAATGTGGGTCCACTATGAGATTTTTCACAACGTAATGGTTTGGATTTTTGTGGACATCTCAGGCACAAAAAGGCAGGAACAGTCTAAAAGATTTCAGAAGATATAGAATAAGGAGCCTCTCCTGGCACTGAGTACGCTTTTCAGTAAAAAAAAAAAAAAAAAAAAAAAAAATCTGTCGAAGTAATAGATTCAAGGGCCATTTCCTGGAAAAATTTGGAGCATGACATCACTCCTCATTCATTATGAGCAAATATAGCAGTTGGTTATCACCAAGATATCTATTATGACTGAACCAACTTCCCATGCTGATACCAGCCACAAAAAGAAAAAACAAAACAAAACAAAACAAAAAAAGTTACCTTGATGTATAGAACAACTCCATAGCAGTCAAACAAAAAAAACACCCCAAAAACTCTATAGTAAAGGTTGATGCAAGCATCTGGTCCTTGACCAAAGCCCATATGGAAGCAGCACTGAAGAATGTAGATATTGCAGGATATGGGAAGAAAGAAAGCAAGACAGACAGTACCTAGATATTGAAGCAGAGTAGACTTAAAGCAAGTTAAAACATTAATCTTGCACCTTGTGGAAACAAGGTACAATTTGTGATTTTTTGATGCTGGAGCCTCTATTGGGACAATACCAAGTTACCCAAGTGAATAATCTTTTCTATTTGAAAGGATAAGTGTTCCTGCACCATTTAAGTGTTTTTTGAAAAGATTGGGGGGGGGGGGGGGAAGAAAGTCTGCTGTTGTTACTCAGTCAGATAATACCAAAATTAACAGATGCCCTACCTGCATACCTAGGTAGTTTCCAAGCCTGGCTCTAAGACATTATGGACTTTGACAAATGTTCAATTTAAAGGCACCATGGGTTCTCAGCCAGTCCAAACAACTGAGCCTCCTGCCATGCCACACATGCATGGCAGGGCATGCACTTCTGGAAATCTGAATCCCATCACACCTTACTTGCTGGTTCAGGGGGAGCCCAGCAGACTGATCCTGCCCCTCCTCCACCCCATGAACTAGCAAGTAAAAACCCACATGCCAACAAACCATCTAATGGTCAGCTGGGGCCAGGGACTGAACTGGGATCTGAAACTAGCGCTTGTCAGGTACCCAGCCCCAGCCAACAATCCAGTTAGTCTAGAGGACCCTGCAAATGGTACCTGGAAGGTAAGTAATATTTCCAGAATGACAGAGGGGTTTAAAAGAAAAGTTAATTAACAAGGAAACAACTAATTGTATACCAAAGTAGTAAAACAGGGTATACCTGCATGGATGTGTGTGGTAACTAGTAACTGAATTTTAATGACTGAATAAGAAAGCCAGTTTCCACAGTTATTCAATGTAAAATGAAGGTATAAAGAGATGTACCTGTTCCACTACACTTTGAATGTGTAACCCATGCACTTTCCTTCTGCCAACTAATCTGATCAATTGGCTAACAGTGATTAAAGGCTCTAGTTATACTCAGTGCCATTTTTTAAGCATAAGAAAGTACTACATGCAACAAACCAGGAACAAGAAGTGCTCTGCAGGGCTGGGGTCCAGCCAATCCAGCTCCTTACAACTACAAATATTCTCCCCCCCCCCGCCATGTTTATCCAGTATGGTAATCAACTGTGCTTTTTGCATGACTTGAGATTACCCTGGGAAGCATTTGCTCATGTTGGGACAGGTAATACACCAACTTCAGCCATCACTGTAGGGGTCAAAGTCCAGTAAGCACAGTATATCAATGACAACCAAAAGCCAAATAATCCCAAAAACCATTGCATTGTCATTGCTCTGGTCTAATTAATGAGAAGGCCCCATAAACGGGTTGGGGAAATGGATAATTAAAAAAAAATGCAAGTGGATGGGGTCAAGGATCACCCTTGGTTACATCCAACACCCAGTGGGGTAGGGTAAGCTGGCATTTAAAGGTCCCGCTTTATAGTTAAGCAGCATATAACAGATAAGATGCAAGAGACCAAGTTATGTCAAAAGAAGCAACATGAAGTGCAAAAAAAAGGAGGAAGTTGTCACTCCATTATACACCTCAGGCACTTCTGGGCCATGTGGTAAGATGGCATGCAGTCTCTGGTGGTGCTATAACTTAGGACAGGAGTCTGTAGTGCGAAGGAAGCATTTAAATCCTCAGCCTTGAAGGATATGGCTAGCTGAAAAAGACCCAATATTGCATGCATGAGGCACAGGCAATTCTGCAACAGGATTAGTGCCAACACATACTTGAAATTTTCCTCTCAGCTACACTCACTGTCAGTCAAGCTAGTCATTAGTGGTATTCATTGTCTCTCCTCACCTAATTTCCCACTGAACAATTTAAACCAGGATCAAAAATTTTCAGTTTGTTTCAAGTGTTTGCAGAAGTCAAACTCATTAAATATTATTCCTGTTGCAAAATTCAAACAGTTTAACAGTGAACTGAATATAATTCAGCATGTCCTCCCAACACTGAAATGTTTTCCAAGTCAGTTATTTAAAACAGACTATTCCTTGTACTAAGGAATTTTGCATGTTATTTAAAGCTGAATGAATCTTATTAGCTACTAGACTAATAGTATGCTTGGCTCTGCTTAGCAATGAACATGAACAGATGTATAATGTGTTAAGAGGACAGTCCCTAAAGGGGACATTTCAATTTAAAGACATGATTTAATTGGTCGCAGGTTAAAACTGGTGCCTCTGGCTCAGATGGAGAAGAATGCAGTTTGTCTAAAGTTGCATGCAAAACTCATTAAAAAAAAATACCTGATTTTGTTTGTTTGTTTTTTGTCTGATCTTGAATGGACAATCCCCAGAAGTCATTAGCCACCTTACATTGTTGTATATCCTTCGAGTCATTTGAGACTCTGCTCTATAAAAAAGGTATAGTACTCCCATATTTTGAATGACACTGTTGCATGTTTCAGAGACCTGCTTCCATTAAGCAACCAGTTTTCCAGTCCATTGAATGGCTACTTAAAAAAGGGTTCACTCTAACCTGAGGCCACACACTCAGGACATCCTAAAGAGTGTATTCATCTCAAGCCTAGTTTAGTGTAGCAATACTGATCTAAAAATAAATTCAGGTATGCACCATAGTGCTCACAACAGTGTCCACAACAAAACACAGCCAACTGCGTTGTGTGTATGAAATGGACTCTAAATTTAAAAAAAACCAAAACCAAACCAAACCAAACAAAAAACCACCCTGATCAAGTCAGTCTGGCATCTTAAACATTTGTTTAAGGAAATTAAAATGCTTAAAAGAATAAGGTTTATTTTTGCTGTATTTAACAGAAAACTGCAATTCATCTTGCTGTATCCGAGATAAAGAACACTAGAAAAGAGATTTTCTTAAGAGGCATTAATGATCAAATTTGTTAAAACAGCTGGGACAAGCCAAATACAAAGCCCTAAAACCCCTGCACATGTGTACTGAGAGACAGCTGGAAAAAGTAAGACTGCAGCATATACTGAACCAGACTAATACACTGCAAGATATAAATACTAGAGGGGATTAGACTAAACTGGCCTCTAGCATCTTTAAATACCATACAATCTTAGTGCCCCAAATGGTTTTTGCCATTAAAAAAAAGTTAAATAAAAGTCTATTAATACAGTTACCTAGAGATGGAAAAATCTGTTTAATCCAGTGACTCTCAAAACAGGGTGACATAGCACCCTAGGGCAGAAGTTCCCAAAAGCCAGGCTACAGCCCAGTACCAGGCCACAAAGAATTGGTTGCCAGGTCTTGTGGTACGAGCCTCCTGCTCGGACCCCCATCTATCCGCCCAGGTGAGCGGCTTCCACCTCTGGCAGTCACGTGCAGGGTTAAAGCTGGGCGGCTGGGCAGCCCTAGAAGGGAAGCAGCTGGCTCCGTGTGCCCCATCCCATTCCACAGTATAAAATAAAAGAGGTTGGGAAACCACTGCCCTAGGGTGCCACCAGATCCTTTGAAGGGTGCCATGAAATGTAAGGAGGTAAGTAGTGAAGTCTTAGGCTTGTCCCTAGGAGGGCCAGCTCCCCCACTGCAAGGAGGTAAGAACTGTAATAGTTTTTAAAATGGGTGTCACAATTCACAGGAGTTAGAGAGGAATGCCTCAAATCCTATGAGGTTAAGAACCAGTGATTTAAAAATCAAATTTTAGTTCATATTAAGCCCCATTTTAATGGCAAAAAATTAAGCCATAAAAAAGAAACACCACACCCTTGTTAAACCCTTGAGAATTGCTATACTTGGCTTTGCAGTTATTGTTCTTTAAAAAAAAAAAAAAAAAAAAACAACAACAACAAACAACAAAAAAACAAAACACAAAAAAACCCATAAAAGGTTAGGATTCAAGACAGGAAAGCAAGAGCTGATCATGGCTGAAGTTTACACTATTACTTCTGTGATTTTTCCCACCCATCTGCTGGAAATATTCCAATAGCTTTGTCATCATATTAAAATGTTTAAAAAAAAAATCACAAGTAATTCAGTTTTGGTGTGGTGTGGCTCTCTGGATCATTAGTACAGTAACAGTAGCGATATATTACAATAACCAAAAAGAACATGGATCCAAGAGAACAGTAATAGTACTGCTAGAACTACTTTACCAGTTGTCTAGTTGTATTGCACTTCTAATCCCCTGCCCTTCTAATATGCCTCATTTCCCCCCTTAACTCCAAGTCTGTTATGATAAACAAGCTACAAGCTATGTACACAAGCTACAGTAAATGACCCAAATCATGTTGGGGCTCTCATTGTGCTAGATATATATTTCACAAGCATACATTAAAACACCTGTAGGCATACAGCAAAAAGCTACACTGAGGAGCTTACAGTTATAGTAAGATCTATTAAAAAGTTAAACTGAATGGCTCAGTGTTACAGCTCCAAGTTCAGTGACATCCCTTCAATATCAGGATGGAAGAGAAACTAATTTTTTTGTTCTATACTACATCAAGGCCAATACTTCATCTTTATAATTGTGCCATCCAGGTCTGATTTGCCTAGTATTAATGAAGCCTTGCATAATTCTACTGGACCATTATACCAGGTACCCCCTTCTTCTGCAGAGGAGTTATTAGCTATTTTATCATCAGTTACTATGGTAAGAGGACAGGTAAACAGGTTCTGTACCAGGGCTGATAAAGTTCCTGGACAGTTTTGCAAGGCTGCATTAACGTTAGAGTATATCAAATGTAAATGTTAATTAATTACATAAATACCAGGTTCAGTTCAGACAGACATGCTACATACTTATTCATTCAAACTATAGAATCTTCTCTTGTACTCAGTGACAATTAAGATGGCTAAGGAATTATCCCACTTTTCTGGGATACATCTCTGTAAGCTCTTCAAAGTAAGCAATTGCTTTTTCAGTTGAACTTCTAGCTACTGTCATTTCCAGCACTAGCACTGCCATCAGGCAAATCAAATTTAATCTTTACTATAGAACCAGTTATTAGAAACACTCTAGCCTCCTAGAGCAGTTTGAGAAAAGCCATTATAATCATTATGCCTAACTTGGTCCCATCTTCCCAGAGAATCTTGCTATATTTCCATATCTTCCAACATTCTACCCACTTTAGCAGTTTGCAGCATCAGGTTTAGGGTGAAACTGCATTCACGTCAAAAGATAGTATGCCTACTGTTTTTTTGTAATTTTTTTTTTTTTTTTTAATTCACATCAAATTAGTTTTCTACCTTTGAAAATTCCTCAGGGTCCTTTACGTCCAGTGAGCGTGCAGCATATTCTAGTAATTCTTCAGAGTTCTCCAGGGCATTACTACATTGGCTAAGTTGATTCTAGGGTAAGAAAATAGAATAGGTCCATGCATTAGTATTAAAGAATAGCCTGTTTAATTGTTATTAGAGAACTAGCACTAAGAAATAGGGAGTCCTAATAAGAATTGCTAGAGACTTTGCCATGCCCTATTAATATTGATGAGGTACAATCAAAAAATAAACAAATAAATAAATAAAAAATCAGCCACTCAAAAACATCAATTCTTTTGATAAGAAGCAGTATCTTTATCCATATAAAATGTCAGCCCCACAAATAAAATGAAAGAATGTTTACTTTAGTTCAGAAACTGGTAAACAGTGTTACATGCAGAAAGCCATATGGGTGCTATCCATTTACAGGAAATGCATTCCACATAAACAGCATATTTCTATAAAAATGAGAAACCCTACTTTTTCATTTTAAATTTTGGAGTTACACCTTTAGGTAATTTATCTTAACTGTACTGCAGGCCAAAAAGGGGAGGATACAGGACTGTCAGTTGGGAATTCCATGTTCAAATCTCCAATCCACCATTAAACTTATTGTATTCAGTCTGCTAGTTATCAACATATGAAGTGCCATTTAACTATTTTTTAAGATTTATAGTGATCTCTCCTTAAATACCAAGTATATCAGGTTGAGCTGTACAGCAAATATAGAGCATTGGAAACTTTTCAGGGCAAAAACTAAAAGGTCCAAAGAAAACCACTTTTTTTGTTGTTTTTAAATAGAAACCCACACTCCCAACACCTCCCACATCAGTTTTAGAACCAAATGGTTATTTTTGTATTGACCAAGATTAGCCTTTCAAAACAGCATCCAGTGAATGGTTAAAATAAATAAATAAATAAATAAATAAATAAATAAAAGTCTAAGATTTACCCCAGGGTTGACCAAGTTCTGCATGGCCAGGGGCTGCATGCTGGGCAGGCCAGAGATTACACACCTGCACCCCTCTTTGCCCCATGCCCCTGCAGACCAGGGAGGTTCACTACAGGGCTGGAGGCAGGAGAGAGGGAGAGCCCAGAGACCCCAGCAGCAACAGCACATGTGATGGAGGGAACAGTGGCTAGGCAGGAGCTCATGCAAGTAATGCAAGCCTTTTCTTCTCTGTCAATACAGCAGGCCTCCATTCACCCACATGAGATTGTTGCCGACACATTATCTTTGACAGACCAGACACAGTATTGTGTAACACTGCTGAACAGCAGGGTGCTAACAATAACAGCAGGCATTTCAACAATAGTATGGTTTAGCTAAGGGTATCTTCAAATAGTTTGCCAAGAGTGACACAGCAACCCAACATTAGCACTGTAGCAAGAATCAGCAGAAACTAAGAGCTGTCATTTCAGTTGTAACGAGGAATTAGAATAGGCTGCTTATTTGTAGAACAATAAGTTTCTTCCCGTACAGGTTTTAATAGTGCAGTTGCGGTTTCCCACCTTCGCTATTAAGGATTTCCATGTATAAAGAGAGATATAAAACAGGTTGCCACTCGCACTGCGCCATGTTTTAAATTTAAAAGTGTTCCATAACATTAGACAATTTATAAAAACTTCGTTTCATTTAAGATATGGAACAGGTTGTGTTCTGGTCAACACAGTGTTAGGAAGATTCCTCAAATAAATACAGCACAAGCTCTCCAAAGAAGTAACACAAAAAAATTAGAGAGTACTGCTTCCTCCACTCCAGTGATCATCTTACTCACTGCAACCTAAAGTAAGTCACGCTACTTCAGCTGTATTTTTGTACTGTTACACTCTAAAGATGTGTTCAGCTGATAAATTAAGTCCACAAAAAACTATTGTTACACTAGGCTACACCTGTTTTTAGTAAGCACTTAAATAGGATTAGCACATGTTCAGGAAAACCTGGACATGTCCTCTTTCTTGGCCCCATCCTCATGTCCGTGCAGGTTTTTAAAATGCAAACAAATGTCTCGGTTTTTGATCTGCCTCTGCTTTCCCAGGGGCTAGCAGCTTTGGTTACTGGGGGGGTGTCAAGCGCTCTGCACATGGGCCCCAGCAAGCTGCTCTTGGGTAAGAGACAGTGCATGTGCAGGAGCTGCACAGGCAGGGAATAGGCATATCACTGCCCCCTCCATGTGTCCTTTTTTGATACTGAAAATATGGTAACCCTATCTAGAGATCTCTGAAGTTCATTCTATTCTGAAAGGCAATTCTGTGAAAAATAGCATCATAGGATTATACTCTAAGTATTTCAAGATTCATGATCAAGTTGGCTTCATTTCTGACTAAGACAACTCCTCATCTTATAAATTTGACAACAATATGGCTGAAAGACAAGCTAGGCCTTTCCTGGCTTCTGCATTAGTCGTATGTGACATTCTACCAGCACTCCCCTACCCCCTTTCTGACTTTAAGTAGCAATTTGGTCATATAATATGTAGGTTTCAGGTAACAAGGTCTTGGTAGAATAATAAAAGAATGACAAACAAGCTTTCACAACTCAAAGCCATTCCTTACACATGGTGAGATTTGGCCAACAGCAGCGTTATCAATTAACGTGGCCAGGTTTTGAGTTTCAGAATGCTTTCTTGTCTGCAAGGTCAGCCCCCCCCTCCCCCAATTGCATAATGAAGGGTAGAAAAAGGATATAGAACAGCTCTGACTGGGCCCCCCTCTTGTGGATGCTCACCAGGTAGATTAGTTTGGATCCTCCTTCTGAGCCACCTTGCTTCCATGTGCCCCTGGGTCTGAACAGGCTCTACACCAGGTTCTCAAACTCCTTAGACCCAAGGCACCCCTCAAAAAAGAGGGTCACCTCATTTTTCACTCAACTACAAGAAAGCAAAGCAATTGTTGCAAAGAACTCAGAAAAAGCCACATGTCAGAATGGTTTTCACACCAAGAATTCCTATTTGAAATCTTTGGCTTCATCCTGTGAATGATGTTTGCACACCTAACAGTGCTAACATTGTGTAGCACCTTTAAAAGGCACTCAAGGCCAGGGTCACAATCCATAGCAGGTTAGGAGAATGCAGCAGCAGCACTGAGGCAGTTTGCATATACCTG